TTTTAATAAGTAAAAAAGAAACAGTCGCCATTCTTTAAAGGGGTAATATGCAAAGTTTGTATCATTAAAAACCTTGTAAATTATACCTGAAAATATTTTTAAAATATGCTATTTATATCTATATATCTATTTAAAAATGGAGCGTAGGTCTAGTAATTGCTGATTATGTAGTTTAATCTAATTTTTGAATTTGACTTGATAATGGCTCGATATTTTTTGTTGAAACCATCGGAATGAGTAGGAGACACATTTGTCTACATTTTAGCGCGTATTTCGCCGCACATTAGTTTTCCAACGACAAACAAAATCATAGAAACGTTAAAATATTTACGGTAAACTTTTAACTAGTTTTGGCTTCTAAACTTAACGACAAGTTACTTATGAGTTCAAATTTTCAGATACGTTTAAGGGACAAATTTCTCTAGATTCTTGTGTATAGTTTTCACAAATAACTAATTTTCAAAGAAAATTTTTTCAACCTACAATAAAAAAAGCGGAATGTCCCTTCAATGTTACGTATTGATTGAAATAATTCATTTCATCAATAATTATATCGAAACTTCCCCCCTATTGATTGCAAATAAAAGAAAAAGAATGTATTTAATTGACCCTCGTCTACCAGTAAGAGGTAGGAGCCTGGTTGTCTATCTAGGGCATATTCACAATGTAAAATGAAATGAAATGAATGGAGTTTTACGTCCTACTTTTCTGCACCATGTGGGCTAATGAAGACGGGCAACGCCATGCAGGGTGCAATGAGGGAAATTTTGCCAGGACTAAATATTTATCAAGATGGGAGAAATGAATAACAAAAAAAAAACAAACAATATTTTAACAGTTGCAATTTGGCCCAGTGTTAACTTTATTTGGGTAAATCATAATTCACAATTTGAGAGTTTTACAGGGATAAAGTCTTGATTCCAACAATTTCATATATAATAGATATAATATAACATAGATATTTCAACAAGGTTATATTTATAACAACAAAAAATAACTTGAAAACACACAGGGACACATTGTTATATTCATCACATAGAATATCATTAATTAATTGAACACATTTAAATGGATTGTAAAGAGGTTTTCTAAATTTTGTATGTGTATCAGGGACACTGATAACATCAATTTAAACCATTCCAATTTTCAATCAGACGTCTGTGGTTCCTGCAATTCCATTAAAACTAAGCATTTTATGATGTCACTAATCGTCACTAATTGCCAAGTTTTTATGTGATACAACATATTTTGTGATTAATGGCGTCATCAAACACTTTGTTATAGTGGAATTCCCAATACACATAAATAATGTAGAAAACCTCTATACTATCCCTTTAATCAGTAGTTAATCAGGTTTAAATTAACATTGGCTAAAGTTCATATCAACAGGGACATGTTCAAATAACTGTTTCTAGGGTGACTCTCCAACCCAAATCCCTCCATATTTTTGCTAACCTAATGTTTGTCTAAACCCATTTCTGCAATACCAAGTTTGGTGCCATGGGTGTTTTTCATATTAAAGGAACACTACCTCTTACAATGGACATGAAATTTAAAGTCAACTTGGTCAATAAGTGTGTATATTCATCAGTTAGACTTACCAGGTACCATGACTAAAGAATAGAATCTCTATATAAGACGATATATCCATTAAACTAAATAATTATTAAAACACACTTCTTAGCAAGTTTCAAAATTACTAAGTTTAATGAATTATTACTTAGTTTTATAGATTTATTAGATTATAGAGAGATTCTGTTGTATAGTTATGACACCAGGTAAGTCCACTGATGAAACAAGAATCATTTTGGCCAGGTTTAAAAATTGAAATTTGAACTCTGGATTAAATCTACTTAGTAAAATTTGAACTCTGGATTAAACTTACTTAGTAAAATTTCAACTCTGGATTAAACTTACTTAGTAAAATTTCAACTCTGGATTAAGCTTACTTAGTAAAATTTTAACTCTGGATTAAGCCTGCAAAGTAAACTTTAACCTAATTAACATGATTTTTTTAACAATTATTATTATCATATATAACAATTCATATAACAAAACAAAAGGCAGTGAAATATTAATCTAGTCTTATCAGCTTGCTTGTGCAATTCCAAGATCTCCCAGAAAGAGCTTAATTTTATTTCTTAGGTCTCAAAAACAGAGAAAATCCTGGTGCCCCATTTAAAGAGACAGATGCCTCATTTTGGAGGGTTGATTAGAGTCTTGAATATATGTAGTCTTAACTTTCAAATATGGATAATTCTGAACACACATGGATTTGAAGGCTCATATTTCGACGGTGAGCTGTGAACATTATTACTGATTAGCCTAGCTTATAAATTCCTGTTTTTTAAGACTAAGGTATGATTAGTCAAAAAAAATGACATATCTGTCCCTTTAAGCATTTCTAAATGGATATTTAGAATAGGCTTAATACTGTTGAAAAACTATACAAATTGCTGTGGAACATGCCAAATTTGAAAGTTAGTTATTGCATGGTGATCTACATCTAATATTTCTTGTTCTCAAATGTGAACAGTATTAATTTTGATGCAACAGAATCCCTTAATTAAAATTCAAAATACAATTTCACAAAAGAGAATAGATCTGTTATATTCAAAATGTCTCAAGAAATTTTAAAATAAGAGGAATGCTTTTATTTCATTCTGGACATTTCAGAGGAATGTATTTGAAGGAATGAACCTGGTTCAGGAAGATAAAGAGGGCAAACTAGGGCACAGGTTAGGGGTTGAGGTGAGGGATTGCCATGGTGACATTGGTGAAATTATAATAGGAATAACTCTAAAACTGGAGATTTCACAGTTCACTTAAACACTATCTTAAAGGAATTGTAAAGAGGTTTTTTAAACTTTTATGTGTATTGTGGACACTGATAGCATCAATTTGCACTATTTCAATTCTCATTCCCACCTTTGCGGTTCTTGCAATTCTACTAAAACTAACATCACTAGAGGGGAACTGCATAGATATAAAAAGTAGCTTCTGGTAGCTCCCCTCTAGTGACGTCATGAAACGCGTTAGTTTTAGTGGAATTGCAAGAACCACAGATGTCTGATTGGTGCAAATTGAAGCTAACAGTGTCCCCGATACACATAAAAAATTTAAAAAACCTCTTTACAATCCCATTAATTAACTTTACACTCAAAGAATTTAGTCTACCCTAAACACAGCAGTCAAAACTAAATTTTTTGCGATAATCATTCAACACAATGACTAAGTTGAAAAAATAAATCAAATTTGCCCATCCATTTTGGACAGGATAAGTTAATGTAAAAATCAGTAGGCTATATAAAGATACATTCTATTCTACGTGGAAAAAGTTGATGTCTAAAATGTAAACTATACTAAATAATTCATAATAAATATAACATAATAAATAGGTCAAAAATATAAATTATGACTGTATTGGATGAAGTAGGCCTCATAAATAATTAAGTAGATGATCAATAGATTTCAGTAAAATATGAAAGGAACACTACCTCTTAGAATGTATATAAAATTTAAAATCTCAAACTTGGTCAATAAGAGTATATATTCACCAGTTAGACTTACCAGGTACCATGACTAATAGAATCTCTATATAAGATGATATATCTATTAAACTAAATAATTATTGAAATACACTTCTTAGCAAGTTTCAAAATTACTAAGTTTAATGAATTATTACTTAGTTTTATAGATTTATTAGATTATAGAGAGATTCTGTTGTATAGTTATAACACCAGGTAAGTCCACTGATGAATAAAGACTCATTTTAATCAAGTTTAACAATTTGAATTTTTTGGTCATCCTAAGAGGTAGTATAACTTTAATTGGATTTCAGAACAACTCAAACACATAATGACTAGAAAATAAATATTCTGAGGTCCTTTCATTGCACATCTCATAAATTATCGTGTATCATCTAGGAACATTTAACAAAAATTATTTCCTTGTTGTGCAAATTGAAGATGGGTTTTAATCCAAATATCATCATTTACAAAAATAGTTTGCATCATCAACTTCAAACTCAAAGATAGGAAACGGTTTGGATAAACTTGTTAATAGATGAAGTGACAACAGGTGGTTACCATGGTTACAGAAACCATCGCCATGCCAAAGGAATTAAACCAATGCCGCATGCACTTACTGAAAACGAGGTCCAGGCAGCAGATGTCAATTTGGCTTTTGATTTAATGTGCAAAAGATCTTTTAAAAAAGGTACTCTTCATTATTGAAAACACATTTAGTCTGATTCAGGGGAGATAACACAGATTAGTGGTATACTGATCAGAATTTAAATGTTTTAAGGACACAATTTGCAACTTTCCCACTAAAGATTTACTTAATGAAGGGTTTAATCGCCTATCAAACCCTGATACCAACCAAAAAAATACTTAAGACTGTGAAACAACTAACAAGACACGTAAACAATAACAAAATAGTTGACAAACACAATATCTAAAGGTTGTTAATCAGCATAAATTTACTTGTTATTTGTGTAAACATGTTACTTTTCCAGCACATTTACCTTCAAAATGGCTGGTGTACAAGAAAAAATGCAAAACAGTTCACATTGTATGCAAAAAAAGGACATATAACAGAAAGCCGAAATTTCTGGCAAATTTTTTATTAAAAGAATCAAAAAGTACAGGTTGAAATTTACCTTTGAGTAAATTTCGAAAATAGAAAAAAATTAGTCATGGACATGTAAAGTCATGTATCAGGACACATCACTGATAGATACATCATGATACATGATAGGATTACTTGTCTGTGATATGATACATTTTAAAGTCACTGATGCATTAAATTCTTGGATACCAGTTGTTAGGGTAAAACTTACGGAACAAGAAAAAATATATTTTTTTGTCAATTGGTGACCAATAAGCTAATGTTTGACATCAAAACTTGACATTTGTTGGTTAATTAAGCTTTTACAACATTTTTTTAATTTCTGATGAATTTTCTCCAAACACAACTGTTTTGAGATTCTTTCCATCTCATTGTGGCAGTGCCTTCAAGATGGCATGAACCTCCTCAGCCACGCAGGCAAGGGCAAACTGGAACTGCTCCTGAAAATAGAAAATGAAATGAAATGAATGGAGTTTTACATTCTACTTTTCTGCAACATCATTTAAATAGAAATTTGGAAAATCAGACGGTAATAAATGATTTTGGACGTATTGTAATGCTGCATGTAAAACGTCTTTGGGAAATGAATCTGATTGGATGATAAAATAATCAGCGACAAATAATAAACTGGTTTGATATTATAAAGCCTCTTGGCATCGCAATTATCTCGTTGCGGAAGCACAGGCACACGGAGATTTAATTCTGGTCTGTGTCAAAAATAGGCAACAACTGTTTGTGTGCCCGCAGCATAACCAAGATCTGTCAGTGCTAGTCGATAGATAACAAGATAATATTTATAGTAATCTGATATCACAGACTAGTGATCAGCCCTATGATAATCTTTAGTTGTAGACAGTTCAATGGTGAATTATTGCTAGTTGTCTCCCTTGAATAAGACTGGCCTACCATGTTACAAATATTACAGGGATAAAAACACAATTTTTAAAGATGGGTTCCCTTATTTTCATTTATGAAAATGAAAATGCTAATATACTTATATGATAGAAAGTAGGGATGTTCTAATGATATGCAATTGTGATTTTTCAAAAAACTTAAAATAATACCTTAGATTTCACCATGGCCATTCTCTGGTCTCGGATATGTTCCAAGGTGGCAGCCATATCTATTTCTTTGGCTCCTGCAAAATAAAAAAAATTCAAATTTGAAGTTATTGCTAATTCAATTCAGTTCAGCAGTCAATGAATTAAAGGGACAGATGCGCCAATCATACTTTAGTCTCAGAAACTGAAATTTTTTAGCTGAGCAAATTAGTAATAGTGTTCACAGCTAACTGTTGAAATTTAAGCTTTCAAATCTATGTGTGTCCAGAATAATCTGCCTTTGAATGTTAAAAAGACGACTCGACATTTTAAGATACCCTGTGATATATAGAAAAGATATATATAGATATAGTGAGTAAAATTAAAGTATTTTTAAAGGAATTATGTGATTTTCGTTCATTTCTAGTACTTCTGACTAAACATTCAACCCCTTAAAATGGCACAACTGTCCCTTTAAGCTGAAGGAATCCAAAATGAAGGTCTAAATGAGATTTTATATGGTTTGATACTTTTTCATGGTTTATTCTTTGTACAGGGGCCACAAAATTTTCCACAGGGGTCACAAGCCATTTTTTTTACCATATAAAATGATAAAAAAAATTTGAAAGTGGCAGGTCAAGGCTGGGCCATTGTTTTTTCTAGATGACTCTTACCTTTAGCCATACGATTAAGAACCATGTCAATCAGAATGTAGGTTCCCGATCTGTCACAACCATCACTGGAAAGAAAAAAACATGCCTGGTTAAAAAACCTGGTTCTTAGCACCTTCAAAATGAAAATGAAATGAATGGAATTTTACGTCCTACTTTCCTGCACCATTGAGCAAATGAAGACGGGCAAACTATGCAGGGTGCAATGAGGGAAATTTTTTTGATTTATAACTGTCGAGGGATCTTTAACGTGTACAGCCTATAACACACAGGGCTTTGGTTTATTGTCCCATCTGAACAACTAGACACTTTTTCCATGTCAGCCCCTCTTACATGCATCACTGATAGGGGGAAACTGTGTTGAAAATCTGAGGGTATTATCTAGACCTATGCCGAGATTGATCCCTGGATCTTCAGGTTAGTAAGCGTCTAACTCACTGAGCCACAGCGGCTCCCTGTGCACCTTCAAAGAAAATTCATATGTTATTCATATGTTATAATGATGTGATATAAGTAATATAGCCTACCTGCAGTGTACTGCAATTGGACAAGATCTTCCACGGTACGACTTGTTCACTTTTCTGAAATATACATTGATACAAAAATCTTATATGTCAACAAATTATTAAATAAAATGCACATGTAGTTTTCAATACAGAATATTTTGTCAGGACAGCTGCATTAGCCTACTGTTTCTTCATTTCCAATCCTTGAGAAGCTCCATTTTAACAATAACAGGAAGAAAACCAGTCCTGCAAAATCTGATGCCAGTATCTAGACCTATGCTGGAGATGAAACTTGGAGCTATCAAATCCACCTTTAGCCCTTTATTATCTAACTTTGCCTAAAATAGTGTTTCATTTTAGTTTTTAATTCAAAAAGTCATTATAAGTAAGTTTATTAAAGGGACAGATGTGCCATCTATTTCCCCAATCGTCTCAGAAATGGGAAATTTGTTACTGGTCAGTAAAAGTACCCACAGCTCACCGCCTTTAAATCCATATAGGAATAGAAAGTGAAATTCCTAGTTTGAGATATTTTTGATGGAATTATGCAATTTTCGTACATTTCTAGTACTTCTGAAGACTTTTTACATATATTCAAGACTCAAATCAACCCCCAAAAATCTACCTATCCCTTTAAAAGACTTCGTTAGTTTTGAGAGTTACATTTTATTGGTGACTATTTGACCAAATCGGTATACTAAAATATCTACTAATTAGTCAACAATACTTAGTAGATGAATTTATGGTTCGAAAGTTAAATGTAGACCATCTTTTTTCACTAAGTACAATATCAAGCAATTGAAATCTTCCTAACTAGTTCTGACAACCCCCTGCCTAGCAAGACAGACTATAACGCAAGTCCAACCTTCCAATTATATTCCAACCAGAGACGACATTTCCGATCCTAGCCCTTTCAACCCACAAAGATCTTAAGACTATTAATGCGTGAATATGGTATGAAGACCCAGGTGGAAGTATAATAACGCTAGCATTGATCGTAGGTTGTTAATGGCAGAGACAGGATATAGCCTCAGGCGACCAGTCCTTTCTATAGACTCAAATTGTGATGTTGGGTGTTAATACTCTCTTAATTAGAACATAATTAACCTTAATGGTTAGGTTTTCTAATATCCCTTTCATTAGAGCTTAATTCATCCGCAAATAGTTTTCAACTATATATTCTTAAAGATGGCCGCAATAAATGGAAATTTGGTCTTTTTTCTAACATACTGTACATCTTGTGGTCCTGTACTTGATCACGTTAGTATAACCTTGTCCATTTAATACACATGTACTTGTGTATATGTATTTTTCTATATATAGAATTGTGATGGCTTGTACCGGTACATCTTTTGTGGTCATGTAATTGATCACAGCAACATAGTCCGTCCATTTAGTACATATGTACTTGTGTAAAAATATGTAAATGTGTAAATGAATGAATGCAGCTACCCTATTTTGCTTAATCAGAGATAATTTCTGAGTATTTTGTTGATTTTCTTTCCCAAAGATTTTCTTTTTTTCAGCAGGAAAGATAAAATCGTTCACAAAGAAAAATTTTGGGAAATAAAACATGAGGATTTTTAATTGTTGAAATTTTCCCAATCAAGTTGAAAGAAGGACCAAAATTAAAACATTTTGAAGAATGTAGCAAACAATAAAAAAAAGTCTGAATTTCGACCAATTAAAACAGCAAAAAATCTTCACTGCTTCTACCACTGGAATGATTTTATGAGCAGACATAGAAACAGTTATTTCCTTTCAGCCTCTTTAACTCTTTACCAATGGAAACTAATTAAAGTGTCATTATCTCTACCTCATTGCACCTGATGTCATCCTAGGGAATTTAATGGCGGTCAAATGACAAAATTCTTTCAATAAGACATTTCATGTGTTAAATTGTCACAATGAAAGGAAACATTTTCTTCCACCATTTTCAGCTCCTGCGATTTAATAAATGATTTTTTCTTCTTTAACAAGAAGGCTAGTCCTACAGTTCATTCGCATGCTTAAAAATGAAATGAATGGAGTTTTACGTCCTACTTTTCTGCACCATGTGGGTTAGTGAAGACAGGCAACGCCATGTAGGGTGCAATGAGGGAAACTTTTCCGCGACAGTGGCATTAGCCTGCTTTTTTTTTATTTCAAACGGTCAAGGGATCTTTAACGTGCACAGCCTGTGGCACACATTGCCTCGGTTTATTGTCCCATACGAACTACTTGACGCTTTTTCCATGTCAGCCCCTCTTACCTGCATCACTGACTAAATTTTAAATAGATCTCACAGACTCTAGACCAGAAACTTTCAGGAACGCCTGGCATCATAACCTTAACCACACACAACAACCTATTGATGAGTCAAGAAACTTCCAGTAACTACTGGCATTATAACTTAGAAAATCAAAGCTCATGCCTTTTGTTAGTGATAGTGAAAATCCTCAACCAGAAAATCAAACTTCTTCAGTGACTTCCCTCAAAATTAGCGAAAATCCTAAACTTGCAATCCAAAGCTCATGCCTTTTGTTAGTGTTAGTGAAAATCCAAAGCTGGTAAC